CACCACTTCCATCGGATTCTTCACGCCGCCTACGAAGCCCTGCTGGTCCAACCTCTTTTCTTTCTGCTTCTCTTCTTTGAGCATGCCATACTTCCCTTCGCCCGGCTTCCAGCGTAGGTCCACCTTCTCTCCTCCCTTCCTGTCTCCTCTTCTCGCTCCGCCGCGGCTCCTGCTTCTCCTTGAGGCCGACCTCCACCTTTTCTGTGCCCTCTTCTCCTCCAACTTCCTTTCCTCCTCCTTGCTCTTCCTTCTCCTCTTCTTCTCCTTGTCCTCTTCCTCTGCCTCCTTCTCCTTCGCCTTGTCCCTGCTCTCTTCCCATCTTCGTTTTTCTTCCTTCGTCCACTCTTCATCAACTCCTCTCTGAGCTTCGGGTGTAGGCGACAATTTCACTCCTTCTTTGTTCCTTCGTGTCCTCATTGATGTCGCCTCCGCATCGCCCGTTGCTATCTCGAAATGCTGATGTTCTTCTTCCCTCAACCTCCCTTCCAGGTATTCTGCCGTCGCCATCTTCTCGAAGTGGTCCATCAGCAAATAGGCATAGGCCCGGCAAAGTTCGACCGGGTACTCCCCCGACTCTTGGGATTCCTTCTTCCCGATGATCGGTCGATGTTTGGCTCCTCCGCATTTGCAGTCCCTGCTCAAGGATTCGATGCCGTAGAGAGTACCTGCGAATTGTTGTGGCTTGAAGTGACGATCACCACGTGCCCGATTTGCTTGGAAGGCACACGTGTTGAATTGGGCGATCTTGACACCAGCCATGCGTAGGTACCCCACCATTTCTGACATCCCCCAAGCCGACAGGTGGTCCTCGACGTCCGATGGAGGAGGGTTCTCCATTGATGTTGGTCTGGCCACTATCGTCGATGTGGGATTCTTTGCCAGTTCCTCGGCCAGCTGAACCGAGCGCGCAAGCATGACTGTCCCTCTGTCGCATTCCGCTTGCTGAGCTTGGGAGTTGGACTTCTTCCCGTGTGGTTCGCTTCGAGTTCGAACTGGTTTTGGAAGGTTAGGGGCATTTCGGAATCTCAGGCGCGAAAACGTCGAGCAAGGGAATCCTGAGTGGTACCCATCGATGAGGCCCTCCTTCGCCCACCTGAGATGCGTGTTGTAGGGCTCATCCAAACATAGGTCCTGGCCCCAGTCCCTCTCCGCCGCTATCACCTCCACGTTCAAGCCTCTTTTGGCAGCTACCTGATGGATAGCTGCTCCAAGTGGATCACGGGGTCCTGCAAAGTGATGTAGGAAGCGGAATCGCCTGGCCTTCACATACTTCTGTATCTTTTCTTCCAACCTCTCCTGAGAGGATTTCTCCTCCTCCTCCTTCTTTTCTCCTTTCTTTTCTCCTTTCTTCTCACCCTCATCCTCCTCTTTCTTCTTCGCCTCACCTTCGTCACCTGCTGCACGACTGTCTCCGGTCTCCTTCACTTCTTGGCTTGACACCTGATTGCTGGGTGACCCGGCGACCCACAGGATGAACACTTGTGAGCCCGTTTCACTGCGTTCGTGCACTCCGCTCCTGGTGGCAATGATCCACACGGACTGTTCCCGTTGTTCCACGAGAAGCAAATGGGTTCCCCTTGCTTCCCTCCTTTTCCTTTCTTGCTTCCTCCTTTTCCTCCTCCTTTTCTCTCCCAACTTGATTCGCTTCGGGCTTCTCGAAGTCTTTGGAGCTCTTCTCTTTCCGCCTGCCATTTCCTCTTCTTCGCCTCCCGTCTGTCTCTGTTTCCTTGCCTTCTCGCCGTGGATGTAGTCGCCGGTGAAGTTGAGCCGAACGTCCCAGACTCCATCGCTGGCATCAACGAGCTCGTACCTCCACGTAGTGCGTTCTCGGCGATCGATTCCTGGGGGGTCATCGCTCTTCCTTTCGATCCGCTCGCAAGCCATGTGAGGGCCGGACTGTGTATCTGGTCCTGCCAAAATTTCATTTCGTTCGGCACCATGCGAATCAGGGCTTCCCATGGTTTCTTCTCGTCGAAGTTCAAGGGGACCGGTTTTCCTTCTTGCTGATCCATCGCCACCTTCAACTTCAGCCTCGACAGCAGTTCCCCTCTCGCCATCTCGTCCGCCGCGTACACCAAATGCCAGGCGTCCGGATATAGCCGAGTCAGCTTCTCCACGTACAGCTCGTAAGCATGAAGGGGGGCCAAGGCGCATTCCTGCAACATGATCATCGCCGTCGTGAACACCCTGAAGCATGCCCTCCATTGTGTGAAGTTGGCTGGACCCGGCAGTTCCTTCGACACGTAGCCCTCGGCCGTCGGTACCCAGGTTCTGTACCTCGAAGCCCTCAATGCTTTCCTTCCGAATGGCACGAACACTCCAAAGTCCGCGAAAGGAGGTTTTCCCATCGACAGCTTCTTCTTCAGGGCCGAGAGCTGTTCTATCGTAGGCTCTTCCTCCTCCTCGGGCAGGGATCCCGTCGTCGCGATGTACTTCTGGAGCAACGTCATCTTCGCTTCTTCTCCCAAGACCTCGAACTCGCCGTCGTCTCCTTGGTCCAACACTTGAGCGAATTTCAAAGTCCTGTCCTTCGTGGCCTTCGCATCCGGGTCGATTGAAGTGGGTCTCATTGGGCTCGAAGAGGATGAATCGTTCAACCCTGAGGTGCTCCATGGATCTTCCTCCACCCAGTTGTCCCAAGCACCTCCGCCCTTCGTGTACATGATCTTCCTCGCCAATTTCCACACTAACCCCACATGGGCGGCCTGCACGGCAGTTAAGGGGACATCCGAGGGGAGCATGGCCTGCGACAAGGCAGCAGCAACCACACTGCCCGGAAGGGCAGCGAGCAAACGCAAGTCGTTGCCAGGGGAGCCGGTCTCCTGAGTGAAAGCTTCCCAAAGCTCCGAAGTCACTCCAAAGTGCTGGAGCAGGTCGTCGACCGATTGCATCCCCAGGGCCGTGGCTGCCGTCGGAAACATGGCGGCAAAAGAAAAGCCAGCCCGCGAGGAATACCCCCATCCTACAAAGCCATTTGACCTTGCAGGGATAGGGACTTGAGCCAAAATGGCATCAAGCCACTGTCCCCACCCAGGCCCTACTCAGGGTTGTCACCCAGAAAATTCCATTCTTCCATTTTCTTCTCACAAAATGGCCTTATGCTTTGGCACAGTCACTAGCTGCAGAAGCCTATCCAGAAGCCTCTGAAGGATGACGCACAGCAAAGTGGCAAAATCACTGTCTCCCCGCAGCATGGAACTCGAGGTGACAACTTCCGGGTCACGAGAGCGGTCGACTGAATGCCTTGCTGTGAAGATTCCATCAACTTCTTCAATCGGAATTCAATGGAGTTCATCTTGACCTAGGGAACCCCGCAAAAAAGAGAACAAAAATAAAGAAACAGCATAGTAGGTGACCGGGTGACAAATCGATCACTGGGGTCCCCCAGTTCAACCGAAAAACGACAGGACGAACATGGAGAACCATTGAAACCGAGTAACGCCTGACCCACCGGTGGCCCACCCCGAGTAGCTTGGTTCCCGTGCCTCCCCAGTGCTTTGTCGATCCGGCGACGCCGGAACCTCAACCGGAGCTTTCCTTTTAAAGCCCTCCATGAACCCCAAGGTTCGCAAGGTTGTACAGGAGACAGAAAAAGGCCAAACGCGATTTTTTCTATGGGTAAAATCTTGGATCCCTGTCTTGGGTTACATCTTGAGCCACACATCTTTCTTGATCGGTTGCGGGTCTTCTGAGGCCTTTTCAGATTCTTACAAAGAATAATTTTATACTGTGGCAATTTGGACTTGGCCAGTCGCTCAGTCTCAGGTGAGGTGGGAACACTAATGACATCCGGAAAGCTGCTATATAGCTGTGTGGTGCTACATGTTGGCTGTCATGACTATAAGTCCATAGTTTTTGCTTTCCCCTAATTAACCTTTGCAGAACAACGTATATACATTGAATCAAGAACTTGGGCTACGTATCATTCTCTTCCTATCAACTTGAGGGGCCTCCTCAAATCCCGGCATCTGAGTTCAGTGACTTCTTTTGGCGGTCGAACTGATCCGCCAGCTGCAACAAAGCAGCTGCGGAGATTTTGGACATGGCCGCCTTCGAGTGTGGGAAAAGCAGGAAAATGGTCAGAGATCAATAGACCAATCTGCAGTAGATTGAGATTGTACAGCATAGAAGAACTCAAAGGACAGCAACAAAAGTAACGAAATCCCAATGCTCAAACGATCAGCTTTGAATGTATCACTTCACTAGCTGCTCCCCCTTCGATCCAAGTCTACAAAATGTGATACACAACGAGATACATGACCACCAAATCAGACAAGTGGAAACATGAGTATCCTTAATTGGGACCTTTATACTCTTCCAGTGCTACCCCTGAACCGTCACCTCGCCCGCGGCCCCACAAGCTCGCGTTGATGGGTCGCCGCTGAGAAAAATGGCCACAGGGGCGAGCGCGGATTGGATCCTCAGGTCACCTGATATCATCGACGATCAAAGCAGCTGTCATTCGTCCATCTTAAATATTGCCTGGGATGACGCACCTGACTCCTGAAGTACTGATCTGTCAGACACAAAATGCACACCTTGACATTGTTTGGTGCTTATATTTGTGTGTGTGCGTGTCACGTGTGCGTAAGAGTGTGCACGCGAGAGAGAGAGAGAGAGAGAGATCGATCATTTCACAAACACTGTCTGAAGGGCCTGTAGACACGTTCTTACTCAGTCTGACTCCTGCCTTCAAGCTTCCTTAACCAAACTGATTGCCAGATATTGCCAGTTCATTGCGAGTACACACATTCATCCACTTCCACCATAGCCTAGCCTCGGCCCTCTCTACGATCATACAAGTGCTGGCCAGTTGTTGCTCTTTTTGCCGCTCTGAAATCCGGACCGCAGCAAAGACGATTTGATTTGCATGGTGGGGCTGGAACCATTCCCAGGCGCACCTGGACGCCTGGCTAACATGGACATTAGCCCCGTGTTGGAGGAAGAACTCCGTCAAGGTGTCGCACGCTTTATGTACTTTGAAACAACAATAGGAAATTGCACAAAGCACTCCCTCACCCAGACCAATAAATGCCCAAAGCCCTGAATTACAGGTCGTCAAACCTGTGGATTAGCAGCATGCAACTTCACTCTTCCTGGCCAGAGACACACATGTGTAGCATCAGAGGTGCCAGCCTCCGACCCCATGCCTTCATGTGCAAAATGCGTCCATTCACATGTTCTATGATTGTTCAAGGCTTCTAACATCTTCTAACGCATTCCTTCACCTGGAACCCTGGCATCGTCAAAAACCAGCAACCAATAGGCACCCTGCCAGCGATCTCGTCGACTTTGGAATCTTGCATCGATGGTTCGTCTACTCGAGGACCTAGAGCTTTTGTAATTTCTCGGTCCAAACCATCCAAACCCACTGAAAAAGGATGATGGTCTCATGATCGACCCCACCAGGGCACCCAAAACTCCTGCAGGGCAAATAAAAGGCAGGGCGAGGCAGGTCCTCCTCACGCTTGTGCACGCAAAGCCTCGCACCCACGGAAGCTTTTGAGATGATATGGATGCAGCTTTCTGTTTAACAAATTGGAAGCGGGACCCTCAAATTCTCGGGTCTTGTTTTCAAGCGATCCTCTCAGGTGCACCGCCAGCCCAGTGGGCCCGGCCTAATCCCCATCCTCGCCCCTCCGAGCCTCCTTCTCTGAGATGCTCCGCTGCAACTCCTGCGCGATGGGACCACGGAGGAGGTGAAAGATGGTGAAGAAACCGTCAGATTTTTGGGAAGAAGGTCTAACTTGGTGAAAAAAATACCAAAGTGCCTCAACCCCTGCGTTGCAATTGTGGGATCCCTTGGGCCCATGCAAAGAACTCTGAACGTTCATACCTGAGCGAGTAGCGATGCCCTTTGTTACGAGTAGCTTCTTCCTAGTAGATCTAGTAGTAATGCCAGGAGCTACTAGTAGCGTCCTTGCTCCTAGTAGCGATGCTCTTTATTACTAGAAGCTGAAATTCTTCGACACCTTAACACCTTTCGCTTGGCCGGTCGTGATCTCCTCTCTGAGCAGCTTCCTCAGGTCTTGATCCTGCGGAAATAAGGACAGGAGACAATAATATGGCGAAAACAAATTCCGTTGATCACCCCCTATCCCCCAAAGATTTGTACATACAAACTTGATCTGTGTCCATTCCTCATCAGACTGAACACAAAGGACACGTTTAGAAACAAATCGTTGCAGGTTCGTCTGGGACTCCCTTGATTACCTTTGTTTTAGACACCGGAAACCGTGAATATTACTTATACATACTTATACTGTCTGTTACTGTATACTGTATGCCTGTTGAATTTCAGACACCCATGGGAAACCCATCTTTGGGGCGCTCTTTCCACGCTCGAACCGCCGAAGTCGACCGCGCCGTCTCGGTGCCGCCTCCGCGGGGGCCACGTGCAACTCCGCCTCGAGGTCGTCGGCCCAGTCGAAGGAGAAGCGAGGGCTCAACAGCTTGGCAGCGGCCTCGGTGCCATCGGTGGGCCTTTGATGGACGCTTTTCTTGGTCAGTAAAAAAAAAGATGATAAACCTACATTTGCGGCTTACCACATGTTCGGATTCTTTGCAAAACCTTTTCACCATATTGTCTGCATGGTGATAAATGCTGGTCTGACCACGGTTCTCTTCTCCTTCTTTCATGTGCACATGTTCGGAATTGCATTTCATTCCCACGTTTGACTTGCAATTGCTTGAATATACGTAAATGAATGTTCCACCAAGGTGACCTGCCCTGGATAACTCATGTTGACATCAGAGTGCCCAGAGTGGTCAATGTGGAGGATGATGATGATATTTCGGGGAACCATGAGGGCCAAACAGCCCAGAGTTTAGGTCTTCCATTCTGTTCAAGTAACAAAATCCGAAATATCATACGGATTATCAAATATTAAGAAGAAGACAATCAACGCATAGCAAAGCCACATATTGTCACTTATGCTTCTTTGAAGTAGATCTATCATGACCTATCTAATTCCCGTAAATCAGGTGCAAACCTTCACTCAGCTGCCCTTTGCGACATCGAACACTCAAGCACCCGCACAAACTGCCAGCACTCCGCCAGGGCTGGTTCCCTCTGGGTGCTCCCTACGCTCTTGAGGTCCGAAGGCCCTCTGGCTGTCTCGGGCCGCCGCGCCGCCGCCTCGCCACAGGGGTTGCAAAACAAGATCAAGCAGGTACCCTGGACCTTGATCTGTCCATGTTTCCAGAGAGTTTACTGTGTTTACTGTTCTCTTGGATTGTGCCAGCATGTCAATGGCAGATCGGAACTCGGCCTTGCTAGTCCCTGACCTCTGCTTCAAGCATGGAATCTGTGCATATTCTAACAAAATTCAAGGGATGGCTATAGTTGAATATAGTATAGCTGTGAATCCCGCATGGATCCGCATCGTATTTCATTCTGAATCGTATTGGATCGAAACTGAGAGTACAAAGATTGTTGGTTGGAACACTCGTGAAAGGTCCTATACTATACAATGTACACAATCGTCTGTTCTATTGGTTCATGTTCATACCGCCTCAATTCGTGTCTGGGTTTGGCCAGGGTATCCTTACCCAAAACTAGACGACGGTTGGCCCGAGAGCGAGACATGTAGTTGTCCGGCACTGTCGAAAAGATGTATAGAAAGAGAGAAAGAGAGGGTGGAAGTGAAGGAGTGACAGTGTGATGTGCAGGTGCGATATAGATCTGTAGTTGTGTGGAGGTGGAGAGGTAGATCTGTGGATGTGAGCGTGCGAAGATGTAAATGCACAGAGACGAGAGAAAAGATATGTAGAAAGAAAGAAAGACAGGACAGATGTGAAGGAGCGACAGTGTGGATGCACAGATGTGATATAGATGTGCAGATGTGTGGGTGTAGTGAGGTGGAGAGGTAGATCTGGTAGATCTGCGGATGTGAGCGTGTGAAGATGTAAATGTAGAGAGGTGAGGGGGTGTAGACGTAGATGCGTCGATGCAACGGCAGTGCAACGTCAACCTTAGTTGTGCAAGTACAACGCTGAAGAGGTTCAAATAGAACTGAAGAACGTATATTTCACACTGAAATTTCCACGAACAGGGCGACCTGAGAGTAAACGACGTCACGATCATGACAAGCGACTCGTGTATTCCAAGCGAACATCGTGTGTCATGAAGGTGAAGTACACACATACTAACGTCACGATGACTCTTTTGTGGCAGCCACTTATGAGTAAGCAAAGAAGCTAAAAGTTGTCAACCTCTCAAGAGAGCCGGGCGGTTGGGAGACATGACTCAGCTGCAGGGGCGCCAGAGCAGCCGCGAGAGATGACTCAGCCGCGAGAGTTGACTCATCCGCGTACTAAAGTTGTACTACAAAGTCGCCAGTTCTCAGCTTCCAGCTCCCCAGAAACTCCGCGTCCTAAAGTTGCACTACAAAGTCGCCAGTTCTCATCTTCCAGCTCCCCAGATACTCCGC